ACAGGAGAGAGGATGTTGTACTCCGCTTGGCCTCTAAATTTATCTGATGTGCTGCGGTCTGACTGGATCTCCCCGAGTAAGCCGCTGATGCTTATACAACCACATCTATGCTTCGTGCTTTCTTGCAGAAAGAAAGACTGATTCAATGTGCGGTTCTGCCTTAAAGCCAGACAGACAGGATTTGGGCCTCCAGTCCTGGTCGCTGTTTTCAAAATTGGTTTTTCAACTTTCCCAATCAGTGGGAACAGCTGATGTCTTGGATGAACCCAGTACCGAGTGGGAGACTCAATGGAGTGTCATCAATGCGAGAGAAAAATAAGAGGTGACACTTCACCGTCTTCTCAAAGAAGTCTGCCTCACATCTACTACTTTTTTTTTTATGTCCCCTGCTATCAGAGGAAATCTGAGCAGGATTTGAAGAGCAAGACCTTAATAACGGAGATCTTATCACGTATATTGAAGCAACCTGGGAAGCATTACGTATTTTTAATAGCTTTACGCTGACAATGATAGGAAGCAAGCTGAAGACAATGACAACTTTATAGAAGGACATAGCCTGATATGTATTCTGATATTTATTTCCCTCAGTCATCTGCTGGGATCTCTTGTCTGGTAGTGGCAACCACATAAAGGGTTAGCTATTCAGGCTCTGTCTTCCATGCTGGACATCTTTGTCATTGCTCCAGGAGGCAAAGAAGAGTTGCTTTTACTGGGAAAATTAGGCCAACTCATTTGAGTACCAAATATGGCTTTGGAAAACTACTATGGGATGAATAGCTTTTAGGCTTACACCAAAAGAAACTGCTTATCAGTATTGAAGGTTGTGACATAGCATTGAGAAGGATATGAAGAATAATGACTGTAGGGCTACCGTTTCACCATCTCAGGTGTTATGGCATCGCCAATCCTTGGAACTGAAATCAAGATGAAAAATTATGGCGTTGGGAAAAGTGAGCTCTTTTGTTTTCAACCACACTGTGCCATCGTTTTGGCTTGTACTGTGGTAAATTTCTTTGTAGACCTTTTTATCCCATCCATCTGGTTTTGTTTTTAAAGGGTGATAATTCTTGCTAGCAATCGTCAGAGAAGCTAAAAGATAAATTAGTTGGCGATTTTCAGCACTTAGAATTACTAATACTTTTCTGCTGTAACTGTTATGTGCTGTTATTATATACTGGCACTTCTCAGTAGAAGATAGCAATCCAAACATGTATTTTAACAAGTCTCTGCTGCAGTACCATTGATTGTAGCCAGCTATTGTTCTCCCGAGTCCTGCCTCAGACAGGGAGTGAGATGTTTCCTGGGATTTAGGTCCAGACCTTTTTGACAGGAAGCCAGGGAACAATTAGGAGGCAGCTGAATCTCTCCCCCCCAACACACACGCACTTTTTTAAAATGAAAACTGCAGAGAAGAGGAAGTTGAAAGAGTTTTACTTAGCTGCTGCACAAGGCACTGGCTATATATAAAATAGTTATGTTCTTTACTTTGGATACAGAGGTTTTTTCTGGCACGTGGTGGAATCAAACCACTCTAAAGAGAGAAGTTGCTCAACTTCTTGCTCGAAAGAAGGTGGCATTTGTCAGTTGAAGCAAGGCAGGAACAAAAGCTTGCTGCTGCCCCACCTGCCAGAAGGACGGGCTTGCGTCCGTCCATCACCTATTGGAAATCACACGACTGGCAGCTCCCCCCAAGCAGATGGCTGATATTTATGCTGTTTTGCCTTTGTGTTTCTTGTTTCCTTTCAGGACTGGAGGATACAAGGCCCTAGCATTGATTTTTCTGTGCAGTTAAAAAGAGAAGAAAGCTGCTGTGCTTTTGAAGCTTTAGACTGTCAGTTTTCTTATTCCCTGTAGGTCTTCCAAAGGTCTCTCATCTCTTTTTCATCTATGCAGATGACTCTGTCTACTCTAGATCCTTTCTGGTGACTCCTTTTAGGGAGGAAAAGAAAACTGAAATTCCGGTCCCATGGAACCATTTGGTATAAAGCTCCAATTCTCTGCTTAATTCTGTACGGGCTTAATTGGCATCTGTGTTTAATTGTTCACACATAGTTGTGCATGGGAGCAATCAGAGCTCCCTAGTGATTTGCACCAATGAAGCTGTGTTTGTGTAGTTACGTCACTCCAAAATGTTTAGAAGCAGAAAAACTTCCAATTCTTATGGGGAATATCTTTAGAGCTGAGAGAGAAGGTGTCCCCTGTTGCCTTTAGTTCTTACAAAGACTGTTCCCCCTCTATTCCCATCCAGTCCTGCAAGCTGAATTATTAGAAACTTCTTGCAACAATTAACAAATCTTGCTTTGCATTTGGGATCCTGTGAGCAAACAGTATCCTTGTAATATTAACAGTGCTTTTAATTCCAGATCTTTTTGTTCAGAATGTTCACTGCTCAAGCAGCATTATGGGGTTTTGATCACAAATGCTATGAGAAAGCAACTGAAGTGCAAACAAAACAGATCCTCACAAAACTATTACCATATTATTTTTTTTGAAACAGAGCATGCACTGGGAATATACACCGTCAAACGGGTTTCCAAAAATAAATACAATTCAAAGAAAATTGCACATAATAGTAGAATGTACATCTCTTGTTTGGATAAGAAACACTTAGCTAACTGCATGTATCTCTCATTTAATCTTAACTTTTTTAGTAGGCCTAAGTGCAGTAGTTACCATGAGATAATATAAGGACTAACATAGGATGTTCACTGAAGTTTGGAGGAGAAAAAATATGAGTACTAGTTTAGTGGCTACAAGTAACTATTCTAGGCAGTTTTTGTCACCTCAGCTTGAGTTAGGGTAACGGGAAATAAGACGACTGAGAAACCTAAGCAGTAAGAGAGGAAAAACAAGCCTTAGTGTTTTGCAGGCAACCATTGAAGAGAAGCAGCTTGATCAACAAACTAGCCAGTAGATGCAATTTTTACCATACTTAGATTAAGATGGTATTATCCTGTGTCTTTGCCTTATATAATTAAATCATTTAATGTTAGCGATGACATTGTTAGGGTTTGGCATAAAAGAAGAGTCTGTCACCAACATGGTGTTCCTGCAGCAATGAACCCTTGTGCACATAGAGGTTCCCATCTACAGAGGCTGTGAAAATCTCTTTGACCATTAGTCTCTGAATTGAAGTTAAGAAAGGTTTTCAGCCCTCAATGGTAAATTCCCCGCTAGAGTTCTTCAGAAACCTTTTTCTTTTATCTCTAGATATTTACGATTTCTTCTTTTGTTAATTTTTGGTTCTACTTAGAGAATATGCATTTTCCATAAGAAGCCTGTATTGCATCATTCTTTGGTTACTCATTGTATTGCATCTTTAATTTTTTTAAGTCAAATTGGTTTTAACTATTCCCATTAAAACCTAGTCCTTCTAGGGGAAGGCTCCTTGAACTCTCTCAATTTCCAGTTGTTTTCTGGAGTCAACAATTGTATGCACAACTGCCAACTTCTAATACAATTAAATTCTATTTGTATTAGCTTCACTGAAGCAACAGAAGAGACAGTTTTGGACTATGGGCTGCATTGGGGTCATATGGTGATGACTGGGGGTAAAACTATTCTGGGGAGGCCTAAAGAAAACATGCATTGCATTTACAGTAATCTTGCAGTAGGACACAGCAGCAATTTCTTCTACATAGTCTCTGCTTGCAGCAGAAATTGAGGATTTGTACTTTTGATACTGACTGTAAAAACCCTCCCTCTCCCACAAGATGAGTTGGGTCAGTGTACCATGTTGCAGTGTTTGTTGGCTCTGTTCCACGGGATGTGACAACATTGTGTGCTGAAACCAGGAGGCACCTGTAAATTTTTTAGCTGGTCTAATTCGGGCCTGACTCCACTTGAAACTTAAGCTGGTGTCCAGTGGAATTAACACTAGAGTACAATGAGCTTTATACCTGCATTGTATGGAAACAAGAACCAGACAACTCCCACTGGCTTTGCGTCCCATCTGCTCCCAAATAAAACAAACAACATATCATTAATGCTGAAACCCAGTGGACTTTTATGCTTGGTACATCTATGCAATCAAGCCCAAAGGTTTTTAATATGAGCAGAGGTTGTTTTTCCAGCAATCTGTACTAAAACCACTGTATGTCTTTTGCTTCACTCTTCATGTTCCTCTGAGGCTTCACAGTGTGTTCAGTTGAGAGCTGACTGTTGGTTGAAGTAACTGACCTTATTTGCTTAAGGGAAAAATTGTCACTGTCCCATGCAAGCACAAACAATTTGTAGGTTTCTTGTTAACCTCCTTATATTGAGAGTGATAAGAGTTGTCCATTAGATCTTGTCCTTTATGTATAAGAAGAAGGTGCTATGTTACCTTTCATGACCTTTTACAATGTGTGTTAGGTATACCTGAACCAAACCATATGTATGTTTAAGGTACTCTGGTCTTTATAATACAACAAATAATAAATAGGGCTTTAGGGAAAATACTTGTCATATGTTTGGCTGGAAGGGAAAACATACATAAGGCCAACACAGTAATTGACTTAGAACACTATAAAGGGAAATATCTTTTCTCGTAGAGAAAAGAGCCTCGATTCACACATGAGCTGCACCAAGTAGAACTGATGAATATAGCACAATAGTCCTAACAGATTCACTACAAGCCCCATCCTGAATAAGAAGAAAAAGAAACAAAGAGGAAGGGGGCAGGGAAATGGTTTCCTTCTTGCTCTTGGGAAGAGTTAGAAAAATAGAGTGCTGAGCAATATAGGGAAAAAAAAAGGAAAAATAGTCACATATTATTCACGCTTCACTCATGTTTGGTACATTCACACGAGCACATTAGGCATGAAAAGAACTCTGAAATGTAAATAGAGACATTCATTGTGTGGTTTTACTTTATTTTTTAAGGAGGAAGGGAACAGAACGAATGGACTCCCCACTCTGCTGTTTCTCAGAAGGAATCCCTTCTGAAGCCATTCTGATGAAAGCATAATTAATCTTGGTTTCGTTAATGGGTCTCTCCTTTGTGGCTCAGATAACGAAAAATGAGGGAGAGCGGGGGCCACCCTGGTGATCAAGGAAACATCATAAAAATTGAGGATGAGGTTGTTGTGCACAAATTGAACTACCAAAGGTATGATGGGCTTGAATTTAATTCCCGTAATTATACTAATGATGCAGAATATAACCAGCCTGAAATAACTCAGGTAATTACTTAGCATATTGCTCTAGTTTCTGCAATGGCAGCCATTGTTTACATCTCTAATTATGCCGTGTAGACACATCAAATCACTCACGCTTGTTTTGACTTGAAGTATTTGAAGCAGCGAACACTGATGAGCTGTATCTTACGGATGCTGCTATGTGAATGAATGCAATTCAGTAATACCGGTTCATCAGGCTCAGGGTCCAATCCTGCGTGTCTTTCATACCCAGCATTCCTGTTGCTGTGACTTCCTTACGTATGTCTTTCATTGAGAACTTCTCCTGGCCTTGAGCAGGTGTTGAAGGGCTCCATATTCACATAGCTAAGCACTTAGCATGCCCTTAATTTTAAGAGCATGGGCAGTCTACTGCAGGTCAGCTGGACTGCCTGTATGTTTTAAAGGAGAGTTACCACTGGTTAGGATACAGCCAGAGTTTTCAGCATCTAAACCAAGGCCAATTTCTTATCCTGGGGTAGCGTAGTGAGAGCAAAGGAAGAATTTGTTCCAGTTACTAACAGCAGTAGCAAAACAAAATGCCCAAATTGAAGTTATTATCCTCCGCCTACCGTTTTTAAACTGAGTGATTTTTCTTCACAATAACGAGAAAGAAAATGGAAGAACAGTAGAGCAGTTTCATCCTTTAAAAAAAAAAAAAAAAAGCTAAGATTTCTTAGCATGCACAAATGTCTCTTGTGCATTTCACAGAATCACAGAATCACAGAATGGTCAGGGTTGGAAGGGACCTCCGGAGATCATCTAGTCCAACCCCCCTCCCAGAGCAGGGTCACCTACAGCAGGTTGCACAGGACGGCGTCCAGGTAGGATTTGAATGTCTCCAGAGTGGGAGACTCCCCCACCTCTCTGGGCAGCCTGTGCCAGTGCTCCACTACCCTCAAAGTAAAGAAGTTCCTCCTCATGTTAAGATGGAACTTCCTATGTTCAAGCTTGTGCCTGTTACCCCTCGTCCTCTCACTGGGCACCACTGAAAAAAGACTGCTCCCATCCCCCTGGCACCCTCCCTTTGAGTATTTGTAAGCGTTAATAAGATCCCCCCCTCAATCTTCTTTTCTCTAGACTAAAGAAACCCAAGTCCCTCAGCCTTTCCTCATATGAAAGATGTTCTAATCCCCTAATCATCTGATCAATCAATCATTTATGGCTCTAGTGGACGTCTGCAACATGATTTTTTTCCCCGTGCAAAACAGTTTGCTCTCTAAGGGTTGTATACAAGTCCATGTGCCAAGTGCTACGAATATTTCAACCTTTAGGACAACCTCTTTCTGTAGGCCTCGGCAAGCTGCTTTCTCTGCTCCGTGGCTCTGTCTCCCCTTCTGCAGACTCAGAATAATAATGCTCATCTTTTTGAACACTTTAGGGCTTTCTATTTCGATGTGCAATACAAATTTGCAGTGTTACGCCATACAAAGGATCATTACAAACCATTCTGAAGGCCAGTACTGTGGACCTTTTATTGCCCAACTGGCTGATTGCATGAGGCTAAGAGTCTGAAAAATGCAGATAAATTCCATCTTGCATATTTTTATGCCAATGTTTTGGTTTTTTTAGTAACCTGCAGGTATGTTTAATTTATTTTGCTCTGCTGGAAACATAGTGAAGATATACTTTCTATGTTGTCTCCAGGAAAAAGGCTCATGAAGGGTAAATTGTTCCACTAGAAATATTCTCCTATTAGATGAAGCTAGTTTACCCTTTGGCAGGAATATACCTAGCTTTCAACTGCAGTTACAGCTCCTTGAGCATTTATAATACACTTTTTAATGGCAAGAATTCCAGGCGCTTCTATTAAATCAAATTCAATGTCAACTCTCAGGGAGAGGAAGGGGTCTTTCAAGCATTTTTTTTACCCAGAAAGCATGTTACAGATTCTAAAAATAGATTTTGCATACATTAATGGCTACATTATGAGGTAGCCAAAGCTGAAGGATGTTGAGCACTTTTTAAACTCCCATTGGCTCCAGGAGAGCTCAGTACTTCACAGAATCAGCCTGGGGGAGAGAGGAGGAGAACAAAGTGAGAATACACAGTCCCAGCAGTGCTCTGGCTGTGCACGCAATCCTTTTGCAGTCAAACCGCCCCATAGGAGCATGAAAGGATGTTTCAGTCAGTAGTTCATTTCATCAGGGGCTCGCTCTCACCCGAGGTGTTCAGAAGGGACAATCTTGTCATATGAACTAAAGACTAAAACCGGAGGAGCTGCTTTGCCTTTGGATTGCACGTATAAAAAAAAAAAAAAAAACAAACAACCTTTTAAGAGAAAGGTGCATGTTGTGGGAGAACAGAAAGACAGTGCCCACTCCACATTGTTTGCAGGTATTACAGGTGTGGGCTGCTTTATAAAGCTCATTACCTTCTTTTCGCTGCTTGTATAAGTGGATAAAGCTTCAATCCCTCTTGCTTTCCAAATTGTTTTTGGTACTGTTGAGAAATTGGTGAGCATTTTATTTATTCCAACACCTCACTGGCAACAGAGTAGAATGAGCCAACTGAGCATCTTTGCAAAGGCTCTGGTCTCCTGTGATTACAAATCTGCTAGCTGAGGCTGGAGATGTGACTCTGTCCTTCACTGTAGAGTCCAGGCAGTCCATGTTTTCACGGTAGGAATGATTTTAAAAAGTCACCAGGCAAGAGGTCTTTGGTGAGTCCAGGCTTGGGAGCTGTGACTGCTTTTTGACACGTTAAGCGGCTTGATGGAATCTTTGGGTCTCAAATAGTTAGAAGGAGCAATTATTAATGAAGCCAGGCACTTTGGACACAATTTTTGCTTATTTACAAGAATGTAGGAAGTCAGCTTCCTTGAGCTAAGGAAGACTTGAACAAGCAGAGATACTCTAACCCCAAGACAGGCATTGTCCCCCTCCTGCCCCTCTCAGACTCTTTCCAGGCTGATGCACCAAAGCTATTCAGACTCCTTTCTCAGATCAGCATTTTCCAACACTTGAGTTTTGGTGGCAGTATCAGCTAAGGGAGATACCTCCTCTCTCTCCCCTTGGCTGGTTCTTCCTGCTCTATGAAACAATACTGTGGGGGTTTGTGTGGGTTTTTTTGTGTTTTTTTCCCAGAGCACCTGGCACCTTGTCACTGAGGTACAGAAAACATAACTCTCTGAAAGTGCTGCCCAAGCCCGGCTGCCTTCAGATCACAGCCTGCCTCTGTCCTTGAGCCCCAACTCGGCTCTTCCATGAGAATCATCACCTTTAGGTGTTCCTGCCCCAGAGAGACTCTGTGACACCTCTCACATCTGTTTCAGGTCGAGATGCATGTTGGCTGGTTAGTGGCTGCTGCTATTTCAATAATCTATTTCCTTTAAAGAGGTTAATGATCTAAACTGAAGTAGCGAAACCTGCCAGCTTCACAAAAGATACTGTCCATTTTTTCCTTAGGATGAAAACTACTTTCTTTATCCCTTGTTTGCAGCAGTGGATACGCTTCATTACTTGCTATAAAGCCTATTTCCAAAAATGAGGACTAACTACAAATACAGAAGCCTCTTCCTACCCTATGAAGTATATAGTTCATGGATGTGGACAGAAAAAGGATGAATCATCATGCCTCTCTGCTAAGGGGGTTGAAGGCATAATGGCAAAAGAGAGCCTTAAAATGACTTTAAAACCATAAGAGGGAGAGATCTTATACATTTAGATGAAGTTCCTCCCAAACGCAGATGCAGTCCAGGAGATGGTAATTGTTGGGGACTACAACTGATGAGAGCAAAAGAAGGTGCTGCAGTGGACTGGAGGGTATAGGACACGTGGAGAAAATGTAGACAGTATGGAAATATCTTTCAGAAGTCTTCATGGCCTATTTGTATATGATAGAAGGCGAGTATCCCTATCATTTTCACTGCATTGATGAAGAAACCTGAAAAAAACAGGGTTGACAGATGTCACTGCGCAGTGGGAGGTTAGAACCACAGGCTCATTCAACTTAGCGAGTATCCCTATCATTTTCACTGCAGAAACCTGAAAAAAACAGGGCTGACAGATGTCACTGCGCAGTGGAAGGTTAGAACCACAGGCTCATTCAACTTCATTTGTGTTTCTAGCCGTGGCTCACACTGCAAGTGTAAGAGGTAAGAGTTACCTGCCCTTGGGCTTCTGGAGCCCCATGATTTGGCCCTGGCCTCTTCTCAAATTAGACCATTTTGCTGCATCACTTTGATTGTGTTTGCATCAGCTGAAGACTTGTGAGTGAATTTTTGGCCGCAGTAGCCTTCACGGGGCCTGAGTCCTTTCAGCAGGCTAATTAACAGTATGGGGTAGGTTCTCTGCATGTATTTTAAAAGAATGAAACTGTTTACCAGGTTGTGGTAGTAAAATGCAAGACTGGAACATTGTTAGGTAGAAATCAAACTAATAAGTGGCCAAGAAAATTCATGCATTCCCGTAATATTTTATGACTCCAATGAGACAGTAAGATCACAAAAATGCAGAGGGATGAAACACATGCTCAGTCGGCATCTTTATTCTCTAAGGTGCAATTGCCACTAATTACTTTTGTCTCAAAACTTAAATATGGAAAATAGTAACCCTACATGTCGCACAAGAAGGAATAAAATGTGTTTCGATAAAAGCCTTTCTTTAAAGAAAGGCAAATACATGTTTCCCATTTTCTGCTGAAGAGCAACTGCTGTGCAGTGCCTCTGCCCATGCTGCAGACACATGAAAAACTTGCCAAATGCAAATGCCCGCCCTCTATGTACTTTTAAAAGTGCATGACTGGTACCATTTGTAGAGCAACAATAAAAGGTGCTGATAATAAAAGATACTTTCATCTGGAAGACGTCTATGTCCCTTGGGACTATCTGTCCCTCCTGCACATCCATTTTACATTCCACGCTGCAGATTAATCTTGCCAGTCCTGCTGTCCTCCTCGGCACACCACTAGTCTAATGCAAGCTTTTATTTTC